TTTGTTTGACCCCTACTCACCACCGCGGTCAGACCGAAACTTCAAGTTTACACTAGTGGAGAGACGATTTTCACACACAAAAAAAAAAGAATTGTTTTTTCAATTCGGCAGAAAATTTTTGTTAGGTTGTTTCCAATCATTCCTGCCTACCAAAAGCTATAATATTATCAAAATTATAAGTAATGCGAGATTTGAAGCCAAGCAACTTGAAGGATCTTCTATCGACGGAATGTGGAGGGTTATTTAAAACAAATGAGAAAAATATCTTGAGTAATAATTATCAATTGTTCCTTCGTTCCTGGTCCGCCCAGTTTCGCCGTTGTCATGAATAAACGACGTCTTTAAACCAAAAGCCCAATAAAAATTCAACGGATTTTTTCAACATACCGAACAAAGTTTCAACTTGATTTGAAGCCGGTAAAAACGTTTTTGCTCTCTTTTGACAGTTGCCCCAATGCTTATTGATCCATTGCCGCCGAGCAAGGTAAAGCTAACGTTTTTATTGTGTCGCACTGAAAGGTTTCACGAAAAATAACAATACTATGACTACGATTGCCTTGAAAAAATAAATTTTTAAATAATTTTGAATTAAAGAAGATTTAATTAAATAAATCTTGACCTAGTTTACGTTTATCAAAATCATAAGTATGACCCAAATATAAAATAGTGACATACTATTTGTTGATAATTATTTTGTCAAAAATATGTAAAGTTCGATGTAGTACTATATATTCAACCCTTGATCCTCTCGCACCTTGCATTTGCGCAAATAAATGCACTCACTCAGAGAATAGCAATTAAGCAACCATTTAATTCTAAAAAATGGAAAAGCAGGCGAGGAACGTCTATGCTTTATTCACCGAAAAATCGTCTCAGACTCCTCGGTTTTTTTACGGAGACAACATTTAAAACACTCTTCCAGTAAACCATTCACTGCATTACATACTCTAAGTAAATAACTAATCTAATTAAGGGTCAATATGGAACTAAATAATCGCACGTTGACCTTAAGCAAATAGGAAAAGTACGATAAGCCACAAAGCTGCAGCGATTTCTCTGTCTCTTTCTACCAATAAATCTTTATCTATTTCTCTTTGTATTTATCTCTTTATTGCTCTTTTTTCTTTCTTTCACACACACACACACACACTCTCTCTCTCTCTCTCTATCTTTCTTTCACTCTTTTTCTCTCTGTTTCTAACTCACCTTTATTCCAAGACTGATCCAAAAGTCTTAATTGCGTGAAAAAATTTAATCATCAATCAATTTGTATTTCTGTTACTTTTTATTTAACTATCTCTTTCTCTTTTTTTTCTTTCTTTCACACACACACTCTCTCTCTTTCTCTCTCTTCACTATTTTACTCTTTCTTTCTCTCTCTTTCTAACTCACCTTTATTCCAAGACTGATCCAAAATGCCTAATTGGCGTGAAAAAATTTAATCATGAATCAATTTTTATTTCTGTCACTTTTTATTTATCTATCTCTTTTCTTCCTTTCACACACTCTCTCTCTCTCTCTCTCTATTTCACTCTCTCTCTCTCTCTCTCTCTCTCTCTCTTTCTAACTCATCTTCATTCCCAGACTGGTTCAAAAGTCCTCTCAATCAATTTTTATTTCTTTCATTTTCTATTTATCTATCTCTTTCTTTTTCACACACTCCCTCTCTCCCTCTATTTCTTTTTCTCTCTCTCTCTCTCTCTCTCTCTTTCACTTTTTTACTCTTTCTTTCTCTCTCTTTCTAACTCACCTTTATTCCAAGTCTGATCCAAAAGTCCTAATGGGCGTGAAAAAATTTAATCATGAATCAATTTTTATTTATGTCCCTTTTTATTTATCTATCTCTTTCTTTTCCTTTTTCTTCCTTTCACACACACTCTCTCTCTCTCTCTATTTCACTCTCTCTCTCTCTCTCTCTCTCTCTCTCTCTCTCTCTCTGTCTCTTTCTAACTCATCTTCATTCCAAGACTGGTTCAAAAGTCCTAATTGGCGTGAAAAAATTTAATCATGAATCAATTTTTATTTCTGTCACTTTTTATTTATCTATCTCCTTCTTTTCTTTTTTCTTCCTTTCACACACACTCTCTCTCTCTCTCTCTCTCTCTCTTTCTAACTTATCTTCATTCCAAGACTGGTTCAAAAGTCCTAACTTGGCGTGAAAAAATTTGACCCTCAATCAATTTTTATTTATTTCATTTTCTATTTATCTATTTCTTTCTTTCACACACACTCCCTCTCTACCTTTATTTCTTTTTCTCTCTCTCTCTCTCTCTCTCTCCCTCTCCCTCTTTGCTCTCTCTCTCTTTCTCTTTATGTATTTCTCTCTCATACTCTTTTTGTTCTCTCTCTCTCTCTCTCCTCTGTCTGTCTCACTCTCTCTCTCTCTCTTTCTCTCTCACTCTAAATCAGCTTCAGTGTAAGAGAAGAACAAGAGACATATCTTTGCGTGAAAAAATAAAACCACCAATCTCTCTCTCTTTACTTTCACTTTTACTTTTACTTTTTTTTACTTTTTCTTCACTTTCTCTGTCTCTCTCTCTCTCTCTCTCTCTCTCTTTTTCTCTTTCACTCTATCTATCTGTCTATCTAGCTTGGCTGTTGTTACAAAAAATTTTTACTCTACTTTGCTACGTCGCTCCGTAACAACGTTAAAATTGAATTTGACAGCCAGCGATGTTCGTGACCGCATCTTGAGACTTTCCTTTTTTCTCGAAGAAAGGATTTGCCAACTGCTTATGTCTATTCTCAATTAGGTGATCTACGTAGCTTATCCGAAAGTTTGGTTGGTTGGATAGCGGGGTCGAGTCAGGAGGTCACACCATTACTCTCTTCACCTTTCTATGTTCAGAAATTTCGTTGAACTATTTGCAAAAAGCATTATGAATGTCGTTAATGATAGGTCACAGTGACCTACAGGTGAAGATGGATTGAATCAATCGATGACAAATGAGAAAATATAATACGAAGGAATCACAGCCATTTATCCAAGCTTGGTTTTCAGTTGAAATGAGGCCGATAAAAATTATTTAAAAAAACGTGGAACAAGGGAAAAAAACGTTAATAGATTTTGTATGGCACACGTCGTTTAATGATTTAAATAGACCGATAAGGTGGGGTTTGTAGGCTTTTAGGGAGCGCAAATATTTAATTCCAGGGACCGAACGCCCTTCCGATATCAGGGAGCCTTTTAATCCATCCGACATCAACACCATCAATTATAAATGTTTCTGTTTAACCTATGCTTCACTTTTGTGCCGGAGTCATTCTCTAGTTAACAACCATACCAGAGGGGGTAATAACCCCAAAGGGATGTTAAACATCCATATAATCTAAGATATAATCCGCTTTTGATTAATTCCCAGAGTTTTCAAAAATTGCTGCTGACATTTATTTAACATATAATCGTCGTCTTAAAAGGTACGTTATCAGGCTTACAGATGTCATATAGTGAAATCCTCGTTAGTAGTCGAATCTAGTTGTCTTTAAACAACCTTCCATTGTTGTTGACCACTTTATATGCATATAAGAATATAAGAAGAAGTAAAGTTCTTTATTCACAATCCCCCCCCCCAAAAAAAACACCGGACACGATCTGATAACTCCTATAATACTTCGATACTTCCCACAGAAGGCTATAGTTTTGTTTTGGCATCATTTAGTATTCAATTTCAGTTCAGTATGAACTTCTCACTTTCCCCTACTATGAACATTCCATTATCTCGTATTAAAACCCCAGAAACCTCCCCGCCACATGTCCTTTTACAGACCTAGTCAAATTTCTTGCTGACTCCAATTTGGTTTCCGTCCTAGTCATTCCTGGCAACGTTTCAAGACGGCACTATTTCCTCTGGTTTAAAATATAACTTGGGTATGTTCTTAGACATGTCTAAAGCTTTTGACCAGAGGCTGGTACCCGGGAATTCTCTTCAAACTAAAGCAGGTCCGATTCACAAGACCGATCCAGGCCGGCATCCCACAAGAGAGAATCTTGGTCCCATCCTACATACCATTTATACTGCTGACCTGCTATCCCAACACCATCCTACAACCTACGCGGTCGATACTGTAATTTTAGCTTTCAACTCCAACCCTACCCAAGCCACCTTCAACATCTAGGAGCAACTTGGGCTCATTAAAGTGTTGTCTAAAACATGAAAAATGAAACTGAACGAGGATAAATGCACCCCAATCACGTTCACGTTAAACTAACGTCCCTGCCTATTCGTTACCAGTAAAACCGACACGTACACAAGTAAAATACATAGACGGTAGACTGACGTTGATTCTTCACACAAAACTCAAGCGGCAAAACCTAAATAGACAATTTGAACAACTATGAAGACTTGTAGAACATATATCTATCTTGTCCGTCAACGTTAAACTAACTTTTTCAAGACTTTACTTCGATCAATTCGGACATTCGGAGCGGAACTGTAGGGCACCACAAGTCATATAAGGTCCAACGAACCATTCCAATCAAAAATCCTCAGAAGAATGCTGAAACTTCTTAGTTTGTCTCCGACCTCACTATCCACGAGAACCTTCGTCAAAGAATTAATCCGTTCTCGTTTCCTTAAGTCTCACTTCAATCTTTCAACCCATCCTAATCCTACTGCTTACAAATCTTAATGCTTCTAATCCTACAAGCCCTTTACCATGAGAATCCTCCACGTCGTCTAGACGATAGCCCCGAGACCTCCTCTCCTTAACCCGACGATAAAAAAAACTGGGCTGGTTTCTCACTGGCCGTAGTGTCAGTGTTTAAGTATATATATATATANCATTTTCTTTATCGTGCCAACGTTTCGATCTTTATTGAGATCATCTTCAGGGCTCAAAGTGTTTGTCTTCTGTGTAATTGTGCCATTCTTGCGTGTCATGTCGAGAATGCCAGTGAGATTTTGCTATTTCGTGTTTATATACGTTGGATTTTGAAGGGGTGGGGAAGGATGTCGGTATAGAAATTGATAAATATTGATCTATATAAAAGATTGACTTACCGTCTTGGTACCATGGTTCTTGTATATTTGTTCTCGATGGATGGTATGCTACCATTCCTGAAAAATAAAAAAAAGAACATGAACATGCATTATATTTGTAACGCAAAACCAAGTCAATTGACCGAAAACCGACATATAATCTGTCCATTTCAAAAACCAAAAGATGGAAAAATCAACCAATCACCTATCTTAACAATAAAGTTTTATTCAACGAGAAAATACTACTTTTTTGTTAAATAAAAATGTTGTTTAGCACAATAACTATAAGAACCATGAAATAATAGTTCTGTTTAAGAGCTACCATCAAAAACAATTCAAATTGATGTACAGTTTGTATATGCATATATATGTGTTTTTTTTAACCCAAAATATACATCCTAGAAGAAGAAAAGGTTTTAGTTATACAATAATTTTAAAGTAAATAAATTATTATTATAGGAATTTTTTAAAATATCTTTATGCAATTACATAGTGTACAGAACAGACAGATTGTGGTTTATCACAAACCATAGCAGTTGCCTCTTCCATTGTAACACTTAAGTTCTCATAGCATACCATTGATATAAAGTAGGAAGAGGATCGTCCTCAACACAGCACTCTGCGGTACCCCCGTGTTCCATCAAATCCATATCACTACCTATCCTTATTATTTAATAATATTAGAAGGCCGGAAGAACTGTATGTTCAACACTGCGACCTCCCGAAACTCTCTTTCCCAGCTAACCTTAACACTATTGTTAAATTCACTAATTTCGTGGTCCGCTTGACCAATTAATACATTACAATTAATTAAGGTTTTTAGTTGAGATAAAAAGTCAATGGCACGAGCGGGATTCGAATCCACGATCTTCGGCTAGATACGCCGCTGTTCTACTACTTGAGCTATCGTGACCTCGATCCACTCGGACACCAACTTCCCATCTCAACCCCACCTTTTGAATTATCCCTCCTTTTTGCCATTTTTCGGTGTCCGAGTGGATCGAGGTCACGATAGCTCAAGTAGTAGAGCAGCGGCGTATCTAGCCGAAGATCGTGGGTTCAAATCCCGCTCGTGCCACTGACTTTTTTATCTCAACTAAAAACCTTAACTATTGTTAAAATTGTCTCTATGAGACAGCATTGGTCATATTGAGCCCTAAAGGGTTAGTAGTGTTAAATAACATTGACGCTATTTGAAGAGTTTTTTCATGGCTGGGGACGTCACATTTCATTGGGAGTTTCTAGTAGGTGAATGTGTTGCCAATACACGACGTCCAACTTCAAGAATCCCTATCACAAGAGCTTCACATTTCGCTACCTTTACAGTCTCTTTAGAACTTTTACGTCTTCTGACGTAAAATATGCAAATAAAAACCAACCTCTCAAAAAAGCTCTTGGATTTCATCTCAATACCCCTTCCAATCTTTGAAAACTTCCAAAAACGCCATTGTTTTCGTAACTACCTTTTATAATGCAACTCGCCGTCCAACTCACATCCTGTCGCCATGGAAATTTTCCATGGTTCACCCAATAAATCTAATAGACCACACCACCTTGTGGCCCTACTGCCTCATCAGTTTACTGCCTGTTCTTGGTAAACTACGTGAAAAACTCCCTTATAATCAAATACACCCCATCCTCGAATCATTTTATATAATCCCCGAACATCAATGTGAATTTAGGCGCCACCATTCCACTGTTCACGTTGGTGTCTCGGGTGTCTCGATGTCGAAAAGGCTATCGATCGAGCCTGGAACCTGGTTTTACTCGGGAAACTCAAGGGCATCCTACCCTTACACACTATCCCATCCTTACCTCCGGGTAGCGTCCTTGCGGCACTACTGTACTGATTATGTATGTCTATATATATATATATATTGCTGATATCCCTGCCCGTCCCGACCCAACTATCCTAACATACGCACGGTCATTCTATTTCTAACTCCGACCCCGTTATAACTCACGGAACCTCTCCAGAATAGCTGTGTCTTCCATTTCCAACGGTTCAAAAAATGGCGAATCCAAATAAATAGCACAAAGTTCAGAAACATAACCTCCAATCTATTATAACCTTACCCCCTTCCATAGAAATATAGGGGTAAAACTAGACAAACGACTCATCTTGGATCATCAAACGGGACTCAAAAGGACAGAACAGAACCGAAGATATCCGTTACTTAAAAGAATACTAGACAACAGATTTAAACTCTCCCTTGACAACAAAACACTCATGTACAACTCAATACTAAAACCAAATGGACATTTGGCGTTCAACCAAACCTTCCAATATCCACAGGATCCAGACCTTTCAATCGCGAATCCTTACATCCATCTTACCGAACCATTTATAACGACCATTAATAACGCAAAAAATAGCTAACTTCTAATCCCACTCTAATCCACACGGACAACTACTTTCTTCCCGATCCTTTCTATAATCCTCGTTTTTCAAATCATAATTATTCTTCAATGAATTACCATGATTTGTAAAATTGGCACGGAAATATTTCTTCAAATATTATTAGAAATTACATAAAATTGAAGGATAAAAGAATAGCGTCAGTGAATTCTGAAGATCCGCAACACGTCTGGCTACAAAAAGAAGAAAAAAGAATAGGGCAATAAGATAATTGTTAAAGTGAAACAGGGGATAATGAAATATTCCCATTTTTAATCAGTCATCGATTCCTCTAAATGGAGGATGATTCAGAGGAACATCTATCGATCGAGGTTTTAATCATAATTAAGTAATATCTATATATCACTGTCAACTCTGTTACTGGGGCTGTTTTACTTTTCGATTATACTGAACCTAGCCGAGAACAATTTCTGTACTTCTGAACTGTTACCTTGGCCTCTGATGATAGATTCAGCTCGGTTAATAGTATGTCCCGGAACTGCAATCTCGTGATTTTCGAGGGTGCAAAAAAAACGGCGAAATTAGGGGAATTCACGAATTAAATGATTGATAAATTCAATTTGTTTAGTGGTCTCATTGACCAAATTACTTTTTTCAATTAATTATTCTGTTTATGTAAGGTCTTGGTTGAGATGAATCTCGCTCGCGACACTGACTTTTTCATCTCAACCAAGACCTTGCATAAAAAGAATAATTTATTGAAAGAAGTAATTTGGTCATTAGACCATTAAACATAATGGATTTAATAAGTAAAAGAAGTATCACTTCACTAACAGCTCCTCGTGGCCACTTCATACGTCGCTGAGAATCGAATCCTGATTACACGACATTTGAAAATATGGCAAAAAGAGGGAAAATTCGACAGGTTGTAGGTTGAGATGGGGAGTTTGTGTCCAAGTGGATCGAGGTCACGATAGCTCAAGTGGTTAGAACAGCGGCGTATTGAGCCGAAGGTCGTGGGTTCGAATCCCGCTCGTGACGCTGACTTTTTCATCTCAACCAAGACCTTTCATAAAACAAACCTGATAAATGTTTAACATTCTCCACTGATTATTATTATTATTCGGTTATCCGGAAAATAATGCAGCTTTATGGTTATAAAATACCATCCATTACTTCAAATACCCATCAATACACTTCTCCCTACGTGGTGGCAACTTCTCTATACCCTCTGAATAGAATTTTGTGCCTTTATTATTAAGAAATTCTGCAAACGCATTTTCTAACGAATTTTGATCAATAAATTTTTGATGCTGTAAAACGTTGTCTAGTTGTTTGAAAAAATGGTAGTCGGTAGGCGAGAGGTCTGGAAAATAAGTAGGGTGAGGCAGAACTTCATAACCAAGATCCAGCAGTTTTCGTGTTGTCACGTGTAAGACATGGTGTCGAGCATGGCTTCAATAATGCCAATTTCTGGTGAATTGCTTCAAAATTCGGCATTGATTGTTTCGCCAGGATTCAAGAATCTCTAGAAAAACAGCCCAAATGAAGCCCACCAAGATCGATTTGCAAGTTCTCGAACAGTTGCTGTGGGATTTTCTTCCACCAAAGCGCGCAGAACATCATCAACCTGGAAGAAATCCTCCCAAGACCTTCTTTGTCTTCAAGGCTCTCTCTTGAAATTTTTCAAACCATCTCGCTCACACTGCCATCGCCCGAGAGACTTCGTTTCAGTTTCTGGCCGTTTGGACACCGTCCCGACCGACTTTAAACTCATAAAACGAAAATACTGAGACAAATAAACATTTTAGTTAGGAAAAAGATAAAAAAACTGTTGACATTCATACCAAAGAATAATCCATCAAACGTAAACAGTTTATTGTATAGAGGGTGAATCGAAAGAAAACATGATAACCTGCATTATTTTCCGGATAACACAATATATGTAAAGCATCAAACACCATAACCAAAGAATTTGAAATTTGAGACTTTTCTGCTGCGATGAACCTGTCCCTTGGTCGTAGTAAAAGAGTAGAAACCTGTACATTAGCAACAAGAACAATCGTTTATCATGTTTACCTTTAAAAGGTCAAACTTCATGGAAAATTAAAGTCATACGTCAATAAAGTATCCCAATAATTACACAAGATCAAACCAGAAATGAACTAATAGATCAAAACGTACGATGGTCCCAAACCACTATAGTCGGACGAAGGTTTACTTTTTGGTTACTAGGAATCGGCTTTACGACCTTACCATCATTGTCTAGTTTGTTTAGAAGGCTTTTTACTAAATTTATGTATCCTTCAGACTTTGGTATTTCCTCTCAACCTGAGTAGGCGTTGAAGCCAACAGAGAATATGTTCCGTTGTTTCTTATTTTTCCTGTCAATATCTGATACTTGTACTGCTCCTCCAGAATCTGCAGTATCAAGTCAGAAGTCTCACTGTTCTAGTCACATGTCGTAGGTTTAATAGTTATGCTGTTAGTTTCTGTGGTTCTTGTATCCACTTTTTCCCATGCCTCTGCCCTGGAGATATTCCCATTGAACTAAAGACTTATTTCATTAAGCTTAAGGCTTTTCCAGAGCACAAAGATGAGCACGGGAATCGCACAATAGGCCAATATTGGATATTGCGTAAGGATATAAAGAGGCTGACTCTTTTTAACCTCCAACCGATGATTTTTAGATTTGGTAGTACTACCATTAGTTTTTGCGACGGTCTTTTCAGAAAGGACAATATTATAAAACTCGAGAAATTGGTCAAAATATACAAATAGGTTATTTACACACCTGTTGATTTCTCATCTAAGTAGTTTGAACGACATCCCCAAATCATCCCTTGCCATCGACCCCGATGGGATTGTAGTAGTGACAGATATATTTCGTGAAAATTGGCAGTTAAAGGGCCACAGGATTCCGAATAATCTTTGTCGAATATAATATCATCTATATCTATATTCAATGCTGAAATATACTCCCTTTCAAGAGCATGTAATATTTATGTACATTTTCGAGTCTCAGTTAAGTAAGTAATGAATTTATACGATATTCCCAAATTAAATATCTTTGCCCTACGATTAACTATGACAAAAACCTCCGAAAAGTCTATAACAAAGCAAGGGATATTTTGACCTCTTTGGGACAACTTTAAATTGGCTATATTGAATAGGATAAATTAATTAAACACCGAAAGCTATTATTACTCAGGGCAGTTTTCAGTTACGAAGGTTTAAAACATTTGAGAAGTGCTCCTTCCAAAATTTTGGAAATAACATGAAACAGGAAATTGCTGTAATTGAATACGTCATTGATATCACCCTTATTAAATAAGAGAAACACGATGGCCCTACTACATTATGTAGCAAACTTCTTATTAAAAAATAAAATCAAATGAAGACAAAGTTAATTTTATATTTTAAGAAAATCTGTCTGATTAATAGAAGAAACATTCGTTTTTATATTTAATGTTACATAACTTTTAAATGTAATTATAATTTGTTTTCATGTGATATTAAAAGAAATTCTTTATTTTTATCCTGAATTTTATTTCAATTAATTAAGGTTTTTAGTTGAGATAAAAAGTCAATGGCACGAGCGGGATTCGAACCCACGATCTTCGGCTTGATACGCCGCTACTTTACCACTTGAGCTATCGTAACCTCGATCCACTCGGACACTAACTTCCCATCTCAACCGCACCTTTTGAATTTTCCCTCCTTTTTGCCATTTTTCAAATGTCGTGTAATCGGGTTGGATTCTCGACGATAAATGAAATGGCCACGGAGAGCTTTGTGTCCGAGTGGATCGAGGTCACGATAGCTCAAGTGGTAGAGCAGCGGCGTATCAAGCCGAAGATCGTGGGTTCGAATCTCGCTCGTGCCATTGACTTTTTTATCTCAACTAAAAACCTTAATTAATTGTAATATATTAATTGGTCAAGCGGACCACGAAATTAGTGAACTTAATTTTATTTTTCATTTTTACTTTACATAGATTGCATGCCATCTGTTTTTTTAATAAAAATAGTTAATTTGATTTCAAAATGGTTAATTTGAACTTAAAAAATGTGAAATTTACAAAAAGGTTAATTTAGATTTAAAAAAGGTTTGTTTGGAACTAAAATAGGTTAATTAAAAATCACATTCATACAAACAATGTGAAATTAAAAATTGTTAATTTGAACTTAAAAAGGGTTAATTTGATATTAAAAAGGGTTCATTTGAAATAAAAAACGTTGATTTTAAAATAAAATAGGTTCATTTGACATTTAAAAATAGTCATTGTGAAATTTAAAAAATTTATTTGTATGTAAAATAATTAATTTAAAGTAAAAAAGAAATTGTTAAACTTAAATTTTTCTTTTTTACTTTAAATTAATTATTTTACATACAAATAAATTTTTTAAATTTGAAATTTTAAAAAGTGTTGATTTGAAATTCAAAAAACTAGAAAAAAAATTTATAATAAAGTAGGTTAATTTAGAATTTAAAAAGATTATTTGAAATTTAAAATGTTTAATTTTGAACATGAATTAAATGGGTTAATTTATGTTAACAAAGGTTATTGTGAAATTAACAATATATTTGTTACAATAAATTTGAAATTAAATAGGGTTATATGGACTTAAAGTGATTAATTTGAGTTTAAAAAGTTATGGTGAATTTAAAAAAGGCTAATATGAAATCAATATATGGCCGTATTAATTATACTTTTATTGAGCTCTTGATTCAGATGAGAAAGTTATTTCACGAGGCGAAGGTCATGGGTTCGAAGCCTGCTCGTGACACTAACTTGTTCATCTCAACCAAGACCTTAGATAAAAAGTATAATTAATTGAGTTAATATGAAATTAAAAAGGGTTAATTTAACTGAAGGAAGCTGTATATTAAATCTCATAGACATATCGCTTAAGCTTAAATTGATTTAAAATTTGCCATAGCACCCATTCACTCTAATACAATACATCCCCACTATTTCAGAGTATCCGATATCCTTGGAGTGATTGGAGATAAACCCTTCCATTCATGCTAATAAATTATGTTCTCGCTAACCCAAAGTACTTGATATTTTTCGGGGGGATAAATCCTTCCATTCACGCTAACAAATTACATCCGCGTATTCATTAACACTAACCTAGAGCACTCGATATTTTTTCGGGATAATTGGTTATTAGCACCTCCATCCGCGCTAATAAATTACATTCGTTTCAATAAATAACAAATATCACATATAAAGATCAGACAATTAAAAATATCTACGGCCCTGAGATCTGTCCTGGTGATATGCCCCAAGGCCGCGTCTAGATCATTCTAGATGTCGTGTTTGTTTCTTTGCAGACTTAGTTCTTTGCATTTCATACTTGGTAATTTTTCTTAAATAATTAAAAAACCGAACAGCTTTTTCTGAACGATTGACCTTTTGTTAATATTAGTATATATTATCTTCTTACCGTTATTTCTGTCGTGCAGGTGTGATATAAAAGCATGAGCATCTCTCCCCGCGTAGCCCGACGAAACCTGAAACAGAAGAAGAGAAAAGGCCTATTAAAGATTTTGTTTTAGAATCAAGAACAATAATAACGGCCAATCGGTTTATCGAGTTGCAAACACAACCGGGCAATAAAAGGGGAAATAATCGTTCGATTGGTTTCTTCGATTGGAAAGATGAAATTCCATTGTAAGTTAATAGAAATGAGAAAAAAAAGTAAAATGGGGTCGTGTAGTGGCGAGAGGAGGGAATCTAAAGCTGTGGGCCCTATTTCCGTTTAAGATCCAACTTGTCATTGGTCGGGTTTCCTGGTCGGAACGACTGCATTTCCTACCGCAACCCTCAGTGACAACTAACTGGAGGAAAGTGTCCAAAGATGAGTCGATAACCCAATTACTCTGCATGTCTAAACCGCTGAAACACCCTCAGAAATCACTTCATAATACAATTATAATCCTCTTTTGTTCAGGAAGCTGCAATCTAAAGATACAAACGAGAAAAACCCGAGTGATTCTCCTAATGGGCTAATTAATATCTGCAGCGGACTGAATCTCTGGCAGCTTTTTGTTACCTTTGGTCGGTAATTTACTACGAAACCGGCAAAAAAAAAAACGTTTTTCAACAAGCAGCACAAATGAACAAAATATTTCATCGTCTGAATTTCAATAATAAAATATATCGGGTTGTCCGGAAAATAATGCAGGATTTTAAGTTTTCATTAAAAAAAATCTATATAAAATATTCTGTTTACGTTTACAGGATTACTCATNTTGATTAAAGAACATTGCTTTAAAGTAACTAGTTTCTTTTTTTTTGTTTAATACCAAAATCCTGCATTATTTTCCGGACAACCCAATACAACAAATATCTGGTGCTATATATTATCATCGCAGCATTTTATTTTTCTTTATTTTCTTTGTACTTAAAGCCATTTTTGTAAGAAAATTGTGAATATATGAATGTGATTGATATCACCTTGTATATTATGGTTAAATATAAAAGTGCAGAGGCAAGGCTAATTTTCCAAAAGTCCTGATGAACGGGGTATATGTAACAATTTTTCAAAATCTTGACGAAGGCACTAATTATTTCACTCTATTTCGAATTCGCCTTATCCATGATTTTATATATACAATCATGGTATTAAGGCCGATACCAATCACATCACAATTGTAATCTCCTTGTAAAGAGAATGCGTCGTGAGATCAAGGTGGCATTCAAATCTAGAAGGCACCGGTGAAAAATGGGCGGGAAGATTAAGAATTATACTTTTTATAAACTTCAACAATAAGGAATTTCACACAAATCAAAGAGACAAATAAAAATAAAAATGAGGAAACAATCCACAATTCCCTCATTAAATACAAACAATCCAAGAACCTCTAGTAAACTCACTCTATTGAGTACGGTGTTCCTCAGGGCTCTGTGTTTGGACCGGTTTTATTTTTGACTTATATAAACGATCTCCTGGAGAACGTTAGATTTAAAGGGGCTAGTCAGTACTCTGCTGGTAATTGGGCAGACTTAGAGATTCAAATGCAAGCAGACATGATTCTAGTTAGTGAAGGGTTTGCACGTAATTGTCTGTCATGAGTCCGAAATGAAAATTTATTTGCATCAGCCCTGTCCGTCCTAATCTCCGTCTGATTATTAGATTTAATTGTTTCAGAGGCGATTGTAATCAAGTTTGTGCCAATTACTTTAACATCGAACAAAGTCATAAAAATAGTTGGGACTAATTATCGAAGAAGGATTAAAATGGCACGCTCTTATAGATAATGTCCGGAAAAATATACAGTTTGGGCTGAGGCAAATTTATTTTTTGCGGAACAAATGTGAAAATGGTCTTCTCGCAAAAGGTTCTTCTATGCCTTAGTTCAATCACATATCAGTACGGACTGGTCAGATGGGGAGGTGCGTATGCTAATGTGAATGATCAGATAGTCAAAACACAAAAAAGAATTGTTAGAGCTTTTTCTCACAACAACATAATAGAACTCTCCCTTCCAATTTTTAACAAATACAATGTTTTAAAACTACTACATTACCTTTATGTTTCCTTGGTACAATTTTTAAGTATAACTCCACTTCCTAAACCGAAAAACCCATCCCGTCTGCAGTTAGTTTGACTGGAAACTATTCCAACGTATCCTAAATTCGTCACTAAACCTCCTAACTACTCCAATGAAAACAGCCAACGACATAGAAGACGCGTAGATATAACTGAGGTGGGGTAAGCATATCAATTCACCTTGTGGGAAGAATGATTCTTCAAACAAACTGTTGTTTTTTTCTCATTCACTCTCTCTCTCATTTAACAGCTTTCACTTACCCTCTCGTTGACTCTTCCACATTCAATTACACTCGTACTTGCTCATTCATTCTCATTTTCACGCTCACTCACTTACTGTTATTTACTAGCGCTCACTTACTTGCCCATTCACTCTCTCACTCAATCACTCTCATTTACTAGATGTCATTACCGACTCACTCACTCATTTACTTTCATTTACTCGCTCACTAACTGTCATTTACATCCTCACACTTACTTGCTCATTCCTTCCCTCTCGCTAACTCACTCTAATTTACTCGCACTCACTTACCTGTTCACTCTATCACTAATCGTATATCCCTCTTTCTCTCACCCTCTCTCTCTCTCCTTCTCTCTCTCACTCTCTCTCACGCACACACACTCTTGCTCTCACTTTCTCTCTTTTTCACACGCACACTCTCGTTCTGTCTTACTCCCACTCACTCCCTCTCTCTTTTTCATACGCATTTTTTCACATATTTTTCTGTTACATTCTTCCCTTTTGCTCTGTACTTTTTTTAAACTTCTCTCTCTCTCTCTCTCTCACGCACACACACACATGCACACACTCTTTCTCTCACTTTCTCTCTTTCTCACACGCACACTCTCGTTCTGTCTTACTCCCACTCACTCCCTCTCTCTTTTTCGTACGCATTTTTTCACATATTTTCCTGTTACATTCTTCCCTTTTGCTCTGTCCTTTTTTTTAACCTCTCTCTCTCCCCCTCTCTCACGCGCACACACATACACACACTCTTTCTCTCACTTTCTCTCTTTCTCTCTCCTTTTACTCACTCACTCTCTCTCCATCTATATCTCTCTCTCCCTCCCTCTTTCTCTCTCTTTTACTCACCCATATTTATACATTAGTGTCTTTCTTGTCCGAATGATTTTTCGCTTTTCCTGGACGTCAGTTTGTGAGCAGAACGACCCTTTCCAAAAAGTAGGACACGCAGTACTACATTTAGCCAAGCATATCCAGCTTTCAATCCTACAACTTTCATTCATTTAAAATGCTTTATTCACGACCAAGCAATAACATGTTGCCAAAGTAGGTCCGTTAAGGGCTAAACGTCAAGCCAGAAGAAGTTGAAGAACAATCAGGCTATCTTTCCGAATTGCTTTCCTACATATATAACTCTCCACCTACCGCTCGTCGCAGTACATTCCTTGAATCCTTTTTCACACATGATAACTTTCTCCTGTTCGCTATCAAAAAGGTGTTAAAATATCGCACATTTAATTCCCCCAAATTACCAAATAGGTCCTAGGTCAGGAGCGTCGGACATATGTCCATGTAGATTGAGTAGAGTTTATAAAATCATGTTGCTGTAATTTCACTTTAGGTGTAAGAGTGTTCTAGAGACCAAACCTTTAGTTGATTGTTAAACAAAGGGATAATAAACCTCTCTTTTTCTCATGCTCTCTCTTCCTCTCTAGAGAATGTAAACACTACAAAATTAGCAATATACCTATTCATTTTTGAACAGATTATGACTCAAAAAATCCCAGTTTTTTAAGTTAATTTTAATGTCTATGGTTCGGCAAAACAAATCCAGTGTATTCATTGAAGTAAGGTGAAAACATCTCCGGGTTGAGGATGTCGTGCTAGTCAGCTGATGTCACCGATTATCGGTTTGTCGACTTAGAGTGGTTTAATTTACTCACAGCAGGAGACCAATTACTGACCCTTCCAACAGATCTTTCACAGACCTTCTCTGCTCCACACGATATTCTCCGTGCTGAGATTGAAGGGATGAACATCTTTTCAATCTTTTGAAACTGCGCAAAAACCCTATAAAGGAAAGGTTTTTTAGTTCCATCGCGATAGTTGTACAGTCAACATGGTGGAATTTTGCTTTCTGTTCAATCACAGTAGTTGCTAGTTTTGTTTCATTCTTTATTGTTGAAATCGGTGAAGGTCAGTGCTTTTATTGGGTAGATGATTTTCTTGCATTCACATATTCTTTTAATACGAGTAAACAGTTTGAAAAATCTCATTCGGCATGCGTGGGGAGCCAAAGGATTACTAAAACTAAGGATATTAAAACTCTTGTTTACTAAAAAACAAGGTATGAAAGAATAATTCTCACAGTAATCACTCGACATCACTGAATAAAAATGAGCTATTTACAATCCTTGAATCGGACACATCTTCGGCTGGCGTCACCAAAAAAAAATCCCTAAAAAGTAAAACATTAAAAGGCGTAGAGAGCGCCAGCACAGCAATTCCACCACTTACTATACCGTCAACATAAAACATAAAAACATAACATAAAAAACATAATTTTAAATGATTCTGTCAACAATTTATTGGGTAGTGACAAATTTTATTATCGCTACCGGATTTGTTACTTTGCACAACTAGCAGCAAACGTTTTCGCGAAACAGTTGAATTTTTGTGTACAGAAAATTAGGACCATCACTTTTATCAACTGAAAAGATAAATGCTACCGGGTATAAGTGGACTCCACCAGACCATTTCGACGGAAGGACTAAAAAAACAAAAAATAATTCCAAGGTGCATCAATTATTATAGTATTACACTCAACTTCAAAAACGCCATATCCCCTACTTTTTATAGACCTTATAAAAAACAAAAATAGTGAGGGTACATTCAAGTTCAGTATCTTCCATATACAAAAATCAACGTGGAGGAACCTAGAATGCGCGTGAACGCCGTGCAGGGCTCCAGGTGGCAGAATTATGGACCC